CTTCTTCTTATTTTTATTGGAAATAATTTTGGCGGCAATAGACTGAAATTTTGTTAAAAACGCGAGTTTAAAGTGATTAAACGTGATTGGATAATTAATTGGCGAAGAAAACAATTTGTGCAAAAGAAATTATAAAACTATTGACTTACCACTGACCGTGTCCACATATGTGACGCTGTGTCTATATCGACAAACTACTGACTTACTACTGACCATGTCACTAGTTCATTCTCAATGAAAGCACATGTTAAATGTCAATAGAAAAATTCATTGTGTTCGGTATAGTCGGTCAATAGTATTGGTGACAATGTCAATAGTAAGTCAGTAGTGATTTACTGTAGACATTTCATACAGGGAAATTAAACAACAATACATAGACAATTTAGTAAGCAATCAGTTTGTCAAAAGTTTTTTAAAGAATTTCGAAAACGACCTCGGAAATTAATAGATCGATAGATCTATACGTGGTCCTTCGAGCCTTTTAAAACGAATTAGCGGCCTAGATTTGCCATTAAATACCATTTTTTTTTTCAAAAATCTTCAAAAATTTAAAAAATAAATATTTGTTGAGCAAAACTTTATTAAAGCCTACTTAAAAACTACTATTAAAGCCTACTTAAAATTTTGAACTTCTCTCTATTTTTATAATAAAGCAGAAAGTTACCCGAAGGCACAATAGACCCAAATAATATTACAATAAATAATAAAATTCCATAAAAATATATAAAAAATAAAAAATATACAAATATATAAAAAAAAATGTTGCGGAATTGGAGTTTGAATCCGCACGGGATCAATACCAATTAACAAAATCGAACTTAATGGATGCTGTGAAAAAGAGGTCTCTTCCAAAGTCCACCAGTTCAGGACGAGAAGACCAAACAAATGCTTCACTTTTTCATAGTTCGGTCATGTATCCCCCAACTAGCACATTTGACGTGTCAGAAGTGTAAATTAAAGTCCCTCCATGTGATACAAAAGACTTCCACGGAAGCTATGAAGAATGGCCCACCTTTAGGGACATGTTTATGGCCATATATGGCAATCACCCCAGACTGACACCAGCACAAAAATTATATCACATAAAAAATAAAACTAAAGGTGAAGCTGGCAGGATTGTAGACAGATTCTCTTTGTCAGATCTAAACTTTTTATTAGCATGGGACGCACTAAAGAAACGCTACGAAAACAAGCGAGTTTTGGTAGACAACCAATTTCGAATTTTATTCGAAAGAGCTCCGGCAAAAAAACGAAAATAACGCAGACATAACAAGGATCCTATTAACAATCAGGGATTGTCTCGCAATTTTGAAAGCACACGACATCAGTGTGGGCGAGTGGGATCCATTTTTAATATACCTTTGTTCGACAAGACCTCCAATAGAAACTTTGACACAAGCCAAGAATGTGTCAGTATGCATAGATGTATGCAATACAGGAAAAAACATCATACGAAACTGCATCTAACGAACAATTCGCAACAGCAATTGAGTGCTAATATCGTCGCGCGTGAAAACAATTACATTCAATCCCAAACAGAAACACATTTCACTACTGACGAATCAAGCAGTGAGTTGCCATGCTCATCGAGAGCAGCGTCTGGTACAAACGTTCAAACTCTAGCAACAATTAACCACGATGGCGTTATGTTACCAACTGCTTTAGTTCAAATTATGAATTCGGGACAAAAATTCACAATAGTAACAAATGCAAATAAATCTTGTTATATTAAATTATGTGCCGACAAAACACCTTTCGAACTGGAATTAGAATTATAGTGGTACGAAACCTAACTAGTTTACTGCCAAATAGATCTCTTCCAAACACAAACACTAACGAAATACAAGATTTAAAACCAGCTGACCCAGGGTTTGCGGTGTCAGCTCAAATAGATATGTTGATGGGAAGTGGTGTTCTTCCATCAATAATGCTAAATGGTATCAAAAAATGTGCTAGGCAATATGATAGCACAAAACTCAATATACGGTTGGTATATATACGGACCAATTGCATACGACAGTATGGCATTGGCTACAGTCGAAGTATCTTCGAAACGTAAAAAAGGAGACATAGGCGTATTATTACGAAAATTCTGGGAACAAGAGGAAGTCGAACGGGCTCCTATTCCCACCGTAGAAGATGAGTATTGTGAAGACTTCTACAAGAAAACAACGTGCCGTCGACCGGACGGTTGATATGAAGTAAAATTGCCGTTTAAAAAAGAATATCCACAAACCATGTTTTTAGAATCGTTTCGATTCAAGGCTATACGCCAATATGGAAAAAAGGTTAAATAAAGACAAAGTACATATCACTGGGCATATGAAACGATGTATGCCAAGAGAAATAAAGAATGGTGAAAAGTACTGCTCATACTACTTGCCGCATCATGCAGTTTTTCGCCCTGAAAGTATGAGCACAAAAGTTAGAGTATTTTCATTTTCATTGAATGATGTTCTATATACAGGCCCAACGTTACAAAACGGTTTAACGTCTGTAATTTTAAATTGGCGGTTATATAAATATGTATTTAATGGTGACATTGAGATGTCCCGTCAAATATTTGTACACGAGTCTGATATACCGTATCCGAGAATATTGTTTACATGAAATGAAACCGCACAAATCGAAGATTCCGAAATAAACACCGTCACATTTGGTATTAACTGTGCGCCATTCCTGGCAATAAGAACGATCATACAATCGAATCCGCAATACAAGCACAACATGAAATAAAAGAAACATTGAAATCGGCCGGATTTCTATTAAAAAAAAAATGACAGCAAATCACCCAAACCTTCTGGCGTATATAACTCCTCAAGATTTATTAAAAGAGAAATTGCTAAAAATCGAAGACAATAGCACTATAAAAACTCTGGGCATTTTTCATACAAAACGGAGTCACTCTCGGTGGCTGAAAATGTGACAAAACGAAAAATGTTGTCAAATGTGTCCAAATTATTAGTGATTTACTGTAGACATTTCATACAGAGAAATTAAACAACAATACATAGTCAATTTAGTAAGCAATCAGTTTGTCTAAAGTTTTTTAAAGAATTTCGAAAACGACCTCGGAAATTAATAGATCGATAGAATCTATACATGGTCCTTCGAGCCTTTTAAAACGAATTAGCGGCCTAGATTTGCCATTAAATACCATTTTTTTTTTCAAAAATCTTCAAAAAAATTTTCTTTCCAAAAAATTTTTTTTTATTCTACATCAATGTTGACATTTCCCTGTTTACAATATTTCATACCGTTTTGTTTTGTTGCAATAGTGACATACGTTTAAAGAGTAACCGATACCGAATACTCTTGCTCACATTAATGCGATAGTCCAATTAGTGAACACGTAACATACGTAAACAGCCAAAACGCAACAAACGTTTCTAAACGTAACACACGTAATTAAACGTAACGCACGTTAGTGGAAATTGCATTACATTATATTGCATTCCATTTCTATAATAAAAACAAATAAAAATTAAATAAAAATATTAGAAATAAAATAAAAGTAACAATAATAAATATAATTACAAACAATACCTAATCATAATATAAAATAATAATAAGATTGCTCTCAAAATTTAAAAAATAAATATTTGTTGAGCAAAACTTTATTAAAGCCTACTTAAAAACTACTATTAAAGCCTACTTAAAATTTTGAACTTCTCTCTATTTTTATAATAAAGCAGAAAGTTACCCGAAGGCACAATAGACCCAAATAATATTACAATAAATAATAAAATTCCATAAAAATATATAAAAAATAAAAAATATACAAATATATAAAAAAAAATGTTGCGGAATTGGAGTTTGAATCCGCACGGGATCAATACCAATTAACAAAATCGAACTTAATGGATGCTGTGAAAAAGAGGTCTCTTCCAAAGTCCACCAGTTCAGGACGAGAAGACCAAACAAATGCTTCACTTTTTCATAGTTCGGTCATGTATCCCCCAACTAGCACATTTGACGTGTCAGAAGTGTAAATTAAAGTCCCTCCATGTGATACAAAAGACTTCCACGGAAGCTATGAAGAATGGCCCACCTTTAGGGACATGTTTATGGCCATATATGGCAATCACCCCAGACTGACACCAGCACAAAAATTATATCACATAAAAAATAAAACTAAAGGTGAAGCTGGCAGGATTGTAGACAGATTCTCTTTGTCAGATCTAAACTTTTTATTAGCATGGGACGCACTAAAGAAACGCTACGAAAACAAGCGAGTTTTGGTAGACAACCAATTTCGAATTTTATTCGAAAGAGCTCCGGCAAAAAAACGAAAATAACGCAGACATAACAAGGATCCTATTAACAATCAGGGATTGTCTCGCAATTTTGAAAGCACACGACATCAGTGTGGGCGAGTGGGATCCATTTTTAATATACCTTTGTTCGACAAGACCTCCAATAGAAACTTTGACACAAGCCAAGAATGTGTCAGTATGCATAGATGTATGCAATACAGGAAAAAACATCATACGAAACTGCATCTAACGAACAATTCGCAACAGCAATTGAGTGCTAATATCGTCGCGCGTGAAAACAATTACATTCAATCCCAAACAGAAACACATTTCACTACTGACGAATCAAGCAGTGATTTGCCATGCTCATCGAGAGCAGCGTCTGGTACAAACGTTCAAACTCTAGCAACAATTAACCACGATGGCGTTATGTTACCAACTGCTTTAGTTCAAATTATGAATTCGGGACAAAAATTCACAATAGTAACAAATGCAAATAAATCTTGTTATATTAAATTATGTGCCGACAAAACACCTTTCGAACTGGAATTAGAATTATAGTGGTACGAAACCTAACTAGTTTACTGCCAAATAGATCTCTTCCAAACACAAACACTAACGAAATACAAGATTTAAAACCAGCTGACCCAGGGTTTGCGGTGTCAGCTCAAATAGATATGTTGATGGGAAGTGATGTTCTTCCATCAATAATGCTAAATGGTATCAAAAAATGTGCTAGGCAATATGATAGCACAAAACTCAATATACGGTTGGTATATATACGGACCAATTGCATACGACAGTATGGCATTGGCTACAGTCGAAGTATCTTCGAAACGTAAAAAAGGAGACATAGGCGTATTATTACGAAAATTCTGGGAACAAGAGGAAGTCGAACGGGCTCCTATTCCCACCGTAGAAGATGAGTATTGTGAAGACTTCTACAAGAAAACAACGTGCCGTCGACCGGACGGTTGATATGAAGTAAAATTGCCGTTTAAAAAAGAATATCCACAAACCATGTTTTTAGAATCGTTTCGATTCAAGGCTATACGCCAATATGAAAATATGGAAAAAAGGTTAAATAAAGACAAAGCGCTTGCAAACACGAATAGAGACATTTTAAATGAGTACATATCACTGGGCATATGAAACGATGTATGCCAAGAGAAATAAAGAATGGTGAAAAGTACTGCTCGTACTACTTGCCGCATCATGCAGTTTTTCGCCCTGAAAGTATGAGCACAAAGGTTAGAGTAGTGTTTAATGGATCATGGAAAACAAATAGTTCATTTTCATTGAATGATGTTCTATATACAGGCCCAACGTTACAAAACGATTTAACGTCTGTAATTTTAAATTGGCGGTTATATAAATATGTATTTAATGGTGACATTGAAGATGTACCGTCAAATATTTGTACACGAGTCTGATATACCGTATCCGAGAATATTGTTTACATGAAATGAAACCGCACAAATCGAAGATTCCGAAATAAACACCGTCACATTTGGTATTAACTGCAATAAGAACGTTATTGCAGCTGGCCACAGAATGGCAAATTCCGGGCATATAAGAAATATACGACATATTAGCAGGCGGTCATACAATCGAATCCGCAATACAAGCACAACATGAAATAAAAGAAAAATTGAAATCGGCCGGATTTCTATTAAAAAAAAAATGACAGCAAATCACCCAAACCTTCTGGCGTATATAACTCCTCAAGATTTATTAAAAGAGAAATTGCTAAAAATCGAAGACAATAGCGCTATAAAAATTCTGGGCATTCGATGAATGCAAAATCTGACACATTTTCATACAAAACGGAGTCACTCTCGGTGGCTGAAAATGTGACAAAAAGAAAAATGTTGTCAAATGTGTCCAAATTATTTGACCCCGCCGGATGGTTAGCTCCGATAATCATACAAGCGAAGATACTTTTACAGGATCTATGGCTGGATGGGGTCGACTGGGACAGCAAAGTTTTCGAATCCATTAATTCGAAATGGAAATCATTTGTCAAACAGTTTAGGGGAATAGAATCCATAAAGGTACCAAGGTGGGTACAATACAATCCGGACTGCAATATTCAGTTGCATGGGTTCTGCGATGCCTCTGAAAGCTTATTGCGCAACACTTCAATAAATTTGTGGACCGACTCAACAATAGTGCTAGCTTGGTTGAAAAAACGCCCTTCTGATTGGAACACGTATGTCGCAAATCGTGCGACGGATATAATAGAAAATGTACCGACCGCGAAGTGGAGACACGTAGCGTCAGAGTGTAACCCCGCCGATTTAGGTACGAGGAGATGTAGCTCGGACGATCTATCACAAAGTTCTCTTTGGTGGAATGGTCCAAAATGGCTTCTAAGCCCATCGACTAATTGGCCAGAATCGAATTTCGAATTGGTAAATCCACCGGAAGCAAAGAGGACTCTAGCACATTGCACAGACATAAAAAAAGAGGTTTGGATGACATAAAATTTTTCGAAAAATACTCCTCATATGAAAAGTCCATACGCGTTATTGCATACATGTATAGATTCATTAACAGAGCTAAACATATATCAAAGCCACAGGAAACTAACGATTTAACGCAAAAGGAAATTGAATCTTCAAAAAAATATATATTAATCAAGCTTACGCAGAAGCTACATTAAAAAGAAGAGTGTATGGACATAGAGAGTAAAAAATCCGTCTCACGCGAAAGTAAAGTAAACCCCTTTATAGATAGCGATGGTTTATTAAGAGTGAATGGACGTTTAGCAAACACGAATCTGCCATATGACGAACGCTTCCCTATTATCTTACCGACAGATAATAGGGTGCGCAACTGTAATGCAGTAGGCAATTGCAGGATATGTCGGGAACGGCACCACACGCTATTGCATCCCAACAACCAGCGGCAGTTCGACAACAAACACCAGCAGCCTCAGCGGTTCAGCAACAAGCCCGCACAGAAGCCCAACAATAATCAACCACAGCAGCCCAAAGGCAATCTCCCACAGCGGAACAACAACAACAGGTTCACTCATCGGAACAACCCGCCACAGAGGTCTAGCAACCCACCTAAGAGGCCAAACAACAACCCGCCACAGAGGTCTAGCAACCCACCTCAGAGGCCAAACAATAACAACAACCCCCCCTCAGAGGCCAAACAACAACAAGAACCCCCCTCAGAGACCAAACAAACCCCCCACAACGATCAAAAAACTCAACCCCTAAGAAGGCCGAAACCCAACAACAACAAAAATCTTCCGTAGCGGATCGGCTAAAAATCCCAAAACAGGAGCCTACTGAAACCATCGAGTCGCAAACGACCAATAGGTTGCTGACAGAAAATGCGAACCAAATGAAGGTCCTGGTAGCGGCAGTGAAGGTTGCACCAGTGCAAGGGGCGGAGGATGTTGATGGCCGCACGGCCATCAAGCTGTACGTGGGTACCACACCGATGAACACCGATAAAATTCCATAAAAATATATAAAAAATAAAATATATACAAATAATAAAAATTAAATTAAATAAATTGTGCAAGGTTCCACTTCGACATGGAGAATTTAATGGGAGCATGTGCTAAAATATTAGATATGTCCGAAAACGATATGTCAGATTCGCTGATAGAAACAAAATTAGAATCATTAGATGAAGACTGGCATAATGTAAGTACTGCCTATGAAAACGTCTATCTTGCCGATGACAAGGCATTCGATGATGATTTTAAAAATGTTGCGAAATTGGAGTTTGAATCCGCACGGGATCAATACCAATTAACAAAATCGAACTTAATGGAAGTTGTGAAAAAGAGGTCTCTTCCAAAGTCCACCAGTTCAGGACGAGAAGACATTTGTTTGGTCTTCACTTTTTCATAGTTCGGTCATGTATCCCCCAACTACCACATTTGACATGTCAGAAGTGTATATTAAAGTTCCTCCATGTGATACAAAAGACTTCCACGGAAGCTATGAAGAATGGCCCTCCTTTAGGGACATGTTTATGGCCATATATGGCAATCACCCCAGACTGACACCAGCACAAAAATTATATCACATACAAAATAAAACTAAAGGTGAAGCTGGCAGGATTGTAGACAGATTCTCATTGTAGACAACCAATTTCGAATTTTAGAAAGAGCGCCGGCAAAAAACGAAAATAACGCAGACATAACAAGGATCCTATTAACAATCAGGGATTGTCTCGCAATTTTGAAAACACACGACATCAGTGTGGGCGAGTGGGATCCAATTTTAATATACCTTTGTTCGACAAAACTTCCAATAGAAACTTTGACACAAGTTAAGAATGTGTCAGTATGCATAGATGTATGCAATACACGAAAAAACATCATACGAAACTGCATCAAACGAACAATTCGCAACAGCAATCGAGTGCTAATATCGTCGCGCGTGAAAACAATTACATTCAATCCCAAACAGAAACACATTTCACTACTGACGAATCAAGCAGTGAGTTTCCATGCTCATCGCGAGCAGCGTCTGGTACAAACGTTCAAACACTAGCAACAATTAACCACGATGGCGTTATGTTACCAACTGCTTTAGTTCAAATTATGAATTCAGGACAAAAATTCACAATAGTAACAAATGCAAATAAATCTTGTTATATTAAATTATGTGCCGACAAAACACCTTTCGAACTGGAATTAGAATTATAGTGGTACGAAACCTAACTAGTTTACTGCCAAATAGATCTCTTCCAAACACAAACACTAACGAAATACAAGATTTAAAACTAGCTGACCCAGGGTTTGCGGTGTCAGCTCAAATATATATGTTGATGGGAAGTGATGTTCTTCCATCAATAATTCTAAATGGTATATTGCATACGACAGTATGGCATTGCCTAGAGTCGAAGTATCTTCGAAACGTGAAGAAGGAGACATAGGCGTATTATTACGAAAATTCTGGGAACAAGACGAAGTCGAATGGGCTCCTATTCCCACCGTAGAAGATGAGTATTGTGAAGACTTCTACAAGAAAACAACGTGCCGTCGACCGGACGGTTGATATGAAGTAAAATTGCCGTTTAAAAAAGAATATCCACAAACCATGTTTTTAGAATCGTTTCGATTCAAGGCTATACGCCAATATGAAAATATGGAAAAAAGGAAAAAAGGCTTAAACGAAAAGACATTTTAAAAGTACATATCACTGGGCATATGAAACGATGTATGCCAAGAGAAATAAAGAATGGTGAAAAGTACTGCTCGTACTACTTGCCGCATCATGCAGTTTTTCGCCCTGAAAGTATGAGCACAAAGGTTAGAGTAGTGTTTAATGGATCATGGAAAACAAATAGTTCGTTTTCATTGAATGATGTTCTATATACAGGCCCAACGTTACAAAACGATTTAACGTCTGTAATTTTAAATTGCCGGTTATATAAATATGTATTTAATGGTGACATTGAGAAGATGTACCGTCAAATATCTGTACACGAGTCTGATATACCGTATCCGAGAATATTGTTTAGACGAAATGAAACCGCACAAATCGAAGATTCCGAAATAAACACCGTCACATTTGGTATTAACTGTGCGCCATTCCTGGCAATAAGAACGTTATTGCAGCTGGCCACAGAATGGCAAATTGAGCGGCCGCTAGCTACAAATATACTTAAAACAGAAATATATGTCGACGACATATTAGCAGGCGGTCATACAATCGAATCCGCAATACAAGCACAACATGAAATAAAAGAAACATTGAAATCGGCCGGATTTCTATTAAAAAAATGACAGCAAATCACCCAAACCTTCTGGCGTATATAACTCCTCAAGATTTATTAAAAGAGAAATTGCTAAAAATCGAAGACAATAGCGCTATAAAAATTCTGGGCATTCGATGAATGCAAAATCTGACACATTTTCATACAAAACGGAGTCACTCTCGGTGGCTGAAAATGTGACAAAAAGAAAAATGTTGTCAAATGTGTCCAAATTATTTGACCCCGCCGGATGGTTAGCTCCGATAATCATACAAGCGAAGATACTTTTACAGGATCTATGGCTGGATGGGGTCGACTGGGACAGCAAAGTTTTCGAATCCATTAATTCGAAATGGAAATCATTTGTCAAACAGTTTAGGGGAATAGAATCCATAAAGTTACCAAGGTGGGTACAATACAATCCGGACTGCAATATTCAGTTGCATGGGTTCTGCGATGCCTCTGAAAGCTTATTGCGCAACACTTCAATAAATTTGTGGACCGACTCAACAATAGTGCTAGCTTGGTTGAAAAAACACCCTTCTGATTGGAACACGTATGTCGCAAATCGTGCGACGGATATAATAGAAAATGTACCGACCGCGAAGTGGAGACACGTAGCGTCAGAGTGTAACCCCGCCGATTTAGGTACGAGGAAATGTAGCTCGGACGATCTATCACAAAGTTCTCTTTGGTGGAATGGTCCAAAATGGCTTCTAAGCCCATCGACTAATTGGCCAGAATCGAATTTCGAATTGGTAAATCCACCGGAAGCAAATAGGGCTCTAGCACATTGCACAGACATAAAAAAAGAGGTTTGGATGACATACAAATTTTCGAAAAATACTCCTCATATGAAAAGTCCATACGCGTTATTGCATACATGTATAGATTCATTAACAGAGCAAAACATATATCAAAGCCACAGGAAACTAACGATTTAACGCAAAAGGAAATTGAATCTTCAACAAAAAAAAAAAAATATTAATCAAGCTTACGCAGAAGATACATTACAAAGAAGAGTGTATGGACATAGAGAGTAAAAAATCCGTCTCACGCGAAAGTAAACCCCTTTATAAACGATGGTTTATTAAGAGTGAATGGACGTTTAGCAAACACGAATCTGCCATATGACGAACGCTTCCCTATTATCTTACCGACAGAATCGAAATTATGCCATAATTTCATTCAATTTGCTCATATAATATTAATTCTCGCGGACATAAAACTTATGATGACAACAATACGAAGTCTGTTTTATGTCCCTCGATCAAGAAGAGCGGTTAAGAAATGCATTAACAATTACATAATATGCGTACGGCACAAAAAACGTATCAAGTCGCAACTTTTGGCAGCATTACCGTTAGAACGTACAATGCTAACGTTGCCATTTACACACACAGGTGTAGACTTTGCAGGACAGTTTCAGGTAAAGTCAGGAAACCGCAAAAATTCGCCACATCAAAAGGCGTATGCATGCATATTCATTTGTTTCCCCACTAAAGCCATACATCTAGAAGCATATACAAGCTTAAGGTCCGACGCCTTCTTAGCATCTTTCGCTAGATTCATTAGAAGAAGGGGTTTGCAAAAATGTGTTACATCGGATAACGACACCAATTTCGTGGGAGCAAGGAAGGAATTTGACATCTTCCTCAAGATATCATCCAAATCAGTCTCAGAAAAGTATGCTTTAAGAGGCTTTGAATGGAAATTCATTCCGCACGGCTCGCCTCAAATGGTTGGTTTGTGGGAGGCCGGCGTAAAGAGCTTCAAAGCGCACTTCAGAAAGGTAGTCGGACAACAAAAGTACAATTTCGAGGAGTTCAAGACAATTCTTGTAAGAAT